TCTTTCATCCATCATGTGCCATCTGATTACATATCTGAATCTCAGGAGCAACCGCTCCATATCTTGCTGTGCGTCCATAGTGTCTGTGCTCAACGACAGACTCCATTTGTTTTGAATCATTTCGATGGGTATGGCCCAGGATGCCTGAAACGTGTAAACAACAACAACAACAACAACAACAACAACAGCGAACACCTACCATGACATCCAAGACCGCGCGTGCCCCCTAAACAACAAAACGCCAAAGCCCCCTCCAATTCCTCCCAATGTTTGGACCAGCAGCGTTGTGGCCAGGCTTGGAGGAGGAAGAAGGCCCACTGAAGACCAAAAGCCCATCCTCCAAAGCTCCTCTGGTTCCGACCCCGGACAGGTTGGGCCGTTTTCTTTGTGGAACATCATTCTGGGAGATGCGGAGAGTGTCCTATTGCCAATGATGCGCAGGGGGCATGGCGTGCGTTCAGGAACCATGTCCAACGAAGCTACCTGACGCACGGGAAGTGAGAGCTGATCGCTCTCAAGTACCTGCTTTTCCAACCTGAATCATGCGGTGATTTAAGCAATACTGTTCTCGGACTTTATCGCCTTGCCGTTCTTCACGGGGGCATTTTGAAGGTCGAGGTTGAGCGCTCTAGATGGCTAATGCAGTAACTAACCTTAAAGTGCTAGCTTCGCTGGATTTTCACAACTGGTTCAGCTCTTGCGAGCCTATATCTTGGTGTGTGTTTGTCTTTTGGTTTTCGGAGTTTGCACCTGGCAAATTCAGGAATCGATCAAACCAACACTGTTGGAAACGCATTGGGATTGGTGGAGGCCTTGAAAAAGAGCAGTACTGCTGGAGTAAAGCAAACTCCTGTGAAAGCCCTTCGACTTTCTGGTCACTTGTGAAATTGCCTCATTCTGGCGATTTTTGTTGGATCCATGAGGAATCCGATGAAATCTGTGTTCTCTTAGCACAGCCTCTCCGCCCACCAAACTCAGCTTTGCCTTCGTACATCAGCGATCACTAAGTACGAGTGTATAATTCCAATCGGTTGGGAGCCATGATCATGGCTGCCCGACTATCCTGAATTAAGCCTAAAGAATGAAAGACCACCTCACAAATCCTCTCACATGTACGTAACTACTCACATTTGCCAGACGAAGTGTGAGACCAAATCTGTGCCTTGATGACTGCTTTAAGATCATGCAGGTGGAATCATGTCCCATTCCTCCAACCCAAGCTGCAATCATCAGTATTCGGCTACAGCAAAATGCAAAAACAGAATCAACTTTCAATGTCAAATTCTCAGTCGACATGAATCTCATGAATCTCATGATCTATACTTGCTTCTCATGATCTCATGATGGTCATTCCTCCAGTGCCCCAGTCCCCGCCGGCGGTCCAGCTGAGCTGCAGCAGCGATGTCAAGCCGCCCACGATCGCCAGAGTAAAGCCCAAAGCCTTGGGGTTCCAACTGCGGTCGAAAAAGGTGATCCACCGGGACAACGGGGACGAGGAGATCCGGGGAAGCTCGGAGCCAGGCCTTTGCGGCGTCACACGGTGGTGAGGCACCAAGGGATGAACTTCGAGACGGCGATAGGGTATGGCATGGCAATCTTCTAGGGCCTGTGTCTCTAGACTTGAAAGAAATACAGAAAGAAAGAAAGAAAGAAAGAAATAGAGAATTTGGGGTATATGTGTGTATGTATATATATATATATAGTTGGTGGATGTTGGTGGCAAGACATGGTGCAAAAACCTTGCAGTCTTTTGCGTCGTTTGTCCACAAAGGGCTGTGATACATACTAGCTGCTGATCAAATCTCCACCGGTCTGCTCAGCTCCAGCTTTGCTCACGAAATCGCTCAAGTATACCCAGTAGAGGGGGATGGAAAAGAAGACTGAAGCAAACTCAGAACTGTTGCCACCAGGGGTGCTAAAGTGAATGCAAGTGGATGTGACAAACCGGTGATCAACGTGGTTTTCTCGGTCACACATGCATCACGGACACTCTACTAAGCCCCATATATGCCATCATCATATTCCAGGGTCCGGTAGGGGATGTAGGGGGTATATAACAGATTCCGCGTAAATGCTCTGGGAAACCCAGAATCGTCCCGGATCTACCAACTCCATCCCATCGAACTCTCGTGGGGAATAACTCTGCGAAATAGACCATTCTATACAGGATGCTCACTCCACTGCCAGTTCCAGCTTCAACCAACTCCTCCCCCAGCACCTCCAACATCCTCCAAGACACCACCACTCCGCGTGCAGCCTTCGCCGTTCCACCACTCCCCGCAGCCCGCGCCACCCGCGGCCGCCCCGGTGCCGTGCCCATCGCGGGTGCCACGACCAGCCCGTGAGCGCCGTGGACTCCATAGGCGCCGTGCGCGCGCGCGGCCGCGCCGGTGGCCGCGGCCACGGGCATGGGCAGCGTGACAGGGCGGAGGGGAGGTACAGCAGCCATGATTGGAGCTGCGAAAGCTGCGGATGTTGGATGTTGGAGACTCAATAGGAAGTGGGAAAACCTAGGAAGAGGAGAGTCTGGTGGAATCGGATGGACTAAGGGGTAAGCAGAAGTTTGCTTAATTCCTGAGAAGGTCTGAAACCGAGAAGTCTCTTCTGCAACCCCTGGTTGGTTCAATCAGGTTTCAGACCACTTGGTGGAGATTGATCGAAATGCAACTCCTGAGGTAGCGTTGAACCGAACATTTTAAGAAGAGTATATGAAGAGCATCAGTATCAGAGGTTACCCAGCCCTAGCTTCTTGTTACTAGTAGTAAGAATGCTCCTAGTAGTACGGCCAGGAGCCCCTAGTAGCGTCCTTGCTCCTAGTAGTAAGGCCAGGAGCCCCTAGTAGCTTCTTGTACTGTCTGCAAACAAAAACCCTTCGAGTTGAACCTCCTTTACTGGTTCTTTAAAACGTACGGAGAGCCCTGAAAACATGTACGGGTGACCTAAAAGCGTAGCTTCGAAGGCAGAGGTCTCAGAGTCGGTGTGCGGTGTCAGAGGAAGCCCCCAGGTATAGCTCCTTTACGACCTGTTTGCATCCAACAAAACGCCGAGCTCTGTGCCGCTCCAAACGCTCACGCCCGCTGTTCGTGCGGTGTCTTTTTTCTGGTCGCACTCGTCTGCACCAAACAGCCAAGCACTCGACCACTTCCTGGGCCACTTCTTCGAACATCCGCAAGCTGGGATGGAAGTGAAGCGGCATGGCACCGTCACTGCATGGCTGAAAAGGGGGCACCGATTAGGAATCCTCGACCAACGAACAGCTCAAAACAGACACAAAGGCTGCTGCTTTGGGCGCCCGAGACAAAGAGGAACAACACATGCAAAGGAACTACACCCTAACATCATACACTGTCAGACTGTCACTGTATACTGAAAACATGACAATTTTCAGCCATGTCCGCCATGTCCTTCCGGGTTTCATTGAACCGTGTCAAACATCGCCATCGATCGACACAGAAAAATGTAATCACACACTGTTGGGATCTTTTTATACAAATACCAGGGACAACCTCATGGATTCTGGTTCATTCTGGTTCTATTCATGAATTCTATTTATTCTACTTGTTGGTTCAGGCAGAAAGTGTGGCCCGAATGAGCTCGGTATATCTAACGACTTTTCCACCGAACCCAATTTCGATTGGTGAATGCTCCTTTGGAGCTTATTCTCCGCGCTGGCGGGTGAGACAGAGGGCTAGATCGACCAAAGCATCAATCGCACATCTGGAGCACCTTTGCCTCCATACCCTGAGAAGAAGTCCTAGCATTTGAACAAACACATTCAATATTTCATGGAAACTTTCGCACATTCTGTGTTTCTCATCCTGTGTTTTGGTGCAACCGCTTGTAAGGGGGGCCGTGCGCTTGACTGTTTTTTTGTTTCCGTGATGTTGCTTGTGGAATGCACATGTAAGCACGTGGAGGGGGGGTCTTCAATATTAGGGAACATTTTGAGCGCGCGTAACGATATTGTCTTCGCTGACGCATCTTGGCAGGAAGTCGCGCGTACTGTACTCACCCGCACATAGTGCGCTTGCACGCAAGTATGATAGCATGCACGCATACACCGCCCAAGACACCCACTACACACAGGACATGCGTCACTAAACCGGATTAACTGCTGGCGGATCGCTTGGAATTTGGTGCTGCCTGAAGCAAAGCATCCCCAAGCCAATGAAACACCACGGACAAGAAGGATGTCTGAACATTAGGATGTCATGTTTCAGCACATCAGAGGCTCTGGCACCAGACGCTTGAAGGATCTGGGCCGAGTTTGCGGACCGGTGAGCTGAAAAAGAAATCATGCAGATGAACCGAAGCGGAAAGCGACTTGGACCGCAAGTGATGCATTCGAAACTTGGACCGCACGGAAAGAACACTCATGTCTTCAAAACGGTAGCGAAACACACAACAAAATCAAAAACAAAACGGACCTTCAGAACAACCCTGTAACTTACAGCCTTACAGCACTTGGACCTCTTCAAAAACAACATGCGAAATGCAAAAACACCATAAACCAGGGAAAAATAAGCCGTTGCTTTTTTAAGAATCGCACGTGTGGCACGTCATGACCCGATAGAAAAAATCGGCGCTGCCCACCGTGCTGTTCTTTTACCGGAAAAGAAAGCTCATGAACATAACTATATTCTAAATAACTTTTACTAACTATATGGCAAAACAATATAGCAAGCAAACGATATGGCAAACGACATGGAAATCTGTTTCAAGCAAACGATATTGCAAAATCATGTCCACCGATTTTGGTTTTGCAAACAGAATTTGTCGGGGATAGTTGAGAGAGTCCAATCCGGAGGTGGTCTCACGGGAGCAACTGTGAAAGCATCTTGGAATGACAAGACAGGAAGTTGTCTTGAAATCTCCAGTGGGTGCTCTTCGCCTGGCGTGGTTACCCTGACTGTTGAAGATTCCCTACAGAAAAGGTTTCAAACCTGGAAAAAACAACACGACACGATATAACTTGCTTCACACACAAATACGGAGGACCTGCTCACTCTCATCTTCCTCCACACCAGTTCCAGATCCGTCCATGTAAACAGTATCTTGATCGAATCAGTCGATATGACAGCTCACAGTTGCAAAAGCTTTTCATAGTTTTTGACTTCTCTCATGGGATGCGATTAACGCTTGGCAAGTCAGTGACGTTCGGCCTGGGCACCCCGTGAACGCTCGACGTCCGAGGACGTGTCGTTGCCAATTCAGGTCCAACTGACCCCCGGAGCCGCAAGCTGGCTGGGAAAAATAAAGGTATACCAGTTCTTTCCACCTGTTGGATGTTCAGTGGGGCACCTCCCCCCCGGCATCCCTCAATTGCCCTCGCTCTGGTGGAGGTGATTTCCCCGCTCTGGGTCGGGCAAATACGAAAAGAAGCTTCGGTGGAAGTCCCGGTGAGACGTACTCTGACACCCAAACTGGCTGATTCGCTGATTCGCCCGGTGAGTCGACGTGCTCATCTCTCAATGAATCGGTGTTTTGGCTCAAGGGGTCGATTTGAAGGTCCCTGGCCAAAAGGGGGCAGGGGCAAGAGCCTGATATGTAATAGACCAAACACAGAATGGTCGATAGGCATCAAGTGATTGTGGACCTCTTCTAGTCCTAAAGCTCAAGCCAGTGCTGTGGTGAAGCATACCCAAAAAGCAGAAATGCAACAAGGGAAAGGCTTCCTATATTTCTCTCAGTTTCCCTGAAAAGAGGTTTTAACATGTTTTAACCTGTTCTGGTTTAGTGGGACACCAATCAGGGCGAAGGGCTACCGTCCTGGCAACTCCATTCGGCTGCTGAATGAGTCTGAGCTGCACAAAAAGATTGTCTGACATGTTTGGTGGTGGCCAATTGGGTAACCTACTCTTTCATAGCTGGCAAATAGGAATGATCTGGGGCACATGACCTACCGCATCCACATGGTCTCTGAGATGATATGATATTGATAGAATCAATCAATCGGAATAACTAATCAAATCTTTACCTGATAGAAGTGATAGGCCGATGTGGCGCATGTAGCCAACCTTTGCTCGAATCAAACATCACCCACACTGCCGCAAAGACCAAGGAAGAAATCTGCCACTGGACTCTAGACTAGCGAGAAGCAGAGACTCGTGCCGTAGTGTAGACGCTTGATTGATACAAGACCCTCGTATTAAAGTGGTAAAACCATCCTGACTGGTGGGGAGGGGTGAATGTGGTTTAAGTTTAATCATCAACCGTCTGCATTACATGCTACAGTTTCGGACTCCCATGGAGTGTCTGGGTACACTCCCTGGCACATTCACGTGGAAGTGGATGCCACCACCACCTGCTTGGTTTTCGGAACATGGTCATCCAAAGGGGGCCCCCAATTACCCCCTGGAAGGTTCGGAATCGAGTCGAAGAAAGCCAGGGCCGGATCGGGGTCTCCCTCTTCACCAGATCCAGTGGATTGGATTGCCTGAAGCCGACGGATTTCTCCCGAAGAACCTGAAACCCGCTCCCCAGTCATCCCGCAGCCTGCAGGCCGAGGAGTCTCAGTCGTTACCTGCGGCCCGAGCGTCGGAAAAGCCCCAGTTCGACCATACTTTTCCTTAAGTCAAGGTAAAGGAAGTTCTCGAAAATCATGTCCCCTGCCAGCACCCTCCAACAGGTCACCACCTCCACTTTTCAAGTCTCCCAAAGCCATTTCGGAGACCTGTAGAGTCAGGTTGGCTAGTCAGGTACTGCTAGGGGACCCTTCTTTTGGAGTTGACTCCCCTACTCTACATGACTTTCTGTTCCCCCTGAAAGCACGTCTGTGGGACAGGCCCGACGTCACCTCTACATGACTCCCCTATACTCGTACCGGGCGCAGGAGCCACCGTTGACCCGGAGCCTTGTCGGGCTTTGGGCGCCGGGACCTCCACCTGTGGTAGGCCGGTCGTGTGGGGCGGTGTGCGTGAGGCGGAGGCAGAGGAGGAATCGGAAGAAATTGGGACGGGGAGTGTGACTTGTGATCCCAGCAAACTGTAGGGCTTGTCAGTGGTCCATTCCTGTGAGAAAAGAGCTCAAACTGAGAGACAAGACGTGTGTACAGGGGAAGTCTAGTGGTCGCCAAACAGTGACCTGCCTGTTTGCAAAGACTGGCTGGTTGCATGTCGGCCATCTTTTCTGGGTCATCCCTACCAGTAAGGTAGGATGAGGATCCATCCAACAGCCAATCCTCACAAGGTATGGACTCATGGTCACCACATCCACTACTTCTCAAGCACTATGCTCAAATTGAGTCTGAGTCTGACCCCTTGAGGGCAACTATGCGCTCCTGGTCGGATCATGGCACCTGGAGCCCAGAACTCACCCTGGTAGGTTGACCATGTCTAGTAGGTCGTCTACTCTGTCCATTTTCGGTGGGAAAAACCAGAGTTCCCCGGGTGCCATGACCGCCACCCAGACACTCCGGACCGCCGTCTTTGCACACACGGGGTCCGTGGTTGAAAAGGGGTCCATGTAGGCTTCTAGGCATATTCCAGTCGCATAGGTCATGTCTATGCCACTATGCACTGATGTCATGGAGCTTTCTTTCTCCAAACCCGACTAAGGCCCCCACCGGTCCGGAGGGTTTCCACTCCTCCGGGGCGTCGACGCCGATCTGATCCTGGAGCCACGACCTCACACGCAAAACACACCGGAGCGTTCGGGAAAGCGAGCACCACCGCCCCAAGTGGGCGCCCCCAAGTGGGCGCCCCGACACGTGCTTTTGTGCGTTCAACATCCAGTTGCCTTGCACCGCCACACCCGCCAAGATTTCCTGCCGGTTCGGTTTTCGAGACTCGTGGTCGAGCTAGCTGAAGTGAATGAGGCCAAGGTGTGGGAGTATCTTGGTGGTTGGTTGTGTCTAGAAAACAGTGACAAAGTGAAGGTCTGATAGAAAAAGGCTTGGGATGTGATGAAATAAATGATCGGATCCAAATAGAAATAAAGTAGTATTATTGAAATTTATTGAATATGTTTGATAGCTAATAGTCAACGTTGTTTTGAAGTAGCATCGATGTGTATTGTCCAGTGCAAAAAATGCAAGATGTTGGTTGTGGCTCAAGTCACAGCGATGCTCCCGCACTGTCACACGTACGAGCCATCAACCATTCTCAGCACGATCAACCTAGGCGTAGTCCCAAGGAAGCAAACACTAAACTCAAGGACGAGAAACTAATAGCCCCCACCTAGATCAAGTCCACGGCAAAGCCTAGATTGAATAGATCAATGCTCCAAGCGGCAAAATCCTACCTTAGATTTCTCTGGATTAGCAGCCCAGTGGAAGCTGGTCCTTTGATCCTTCCACGTTTTGGGTCGTCGTAGATAGAGAAAAAGCAGTTCCAAGGAGGCAATGAGTGATCGACGATCATCAAACAATATCAAACATACATATCCCAAAGGATCATAGGTAACCAGCGGTTCCAAATACCGTAGACGCCGTAGACGCCGTAGACCTTCTTCCAACTCTGGCCATTTCTCTGCGGTTCCAACTCTGGCGCCTCTCCCTTCACCCGTCCTTGATGCAGTTCCGATCCTCGTCATTCGGCACCTCAGGGCTCATTCGGCAGCCTGGGCCTGAACGACCACCCCAAAAGCCCCCAAAAAGCCGCTCTGCGGTAGTAGACGGTTGATGAGTCACAACTCCCCCTTCCTTTGCCAGAAATGGTTTTACATGGTTTTACAATGTTTTACATCTTCATTCCATGGAGGGCTTTGCTTCATACATCTTCTACGTTGGGTTTACCATGGCCAAGTGGATGATGATGATGATGATGATGATGATGATGATGATGATGATGATGATG